CAGTACCACATCATATTGAAAACTAGTTTGAAAATGCTACTTGGATCATTAGGTTGTAATGACCTAGAGTTTATAGCAGAAAGCTTATTCCTCCTTTTCTGACAACTCTGTTTGAAAGACGCTCTCAAGCTTCCGACTCCACAAACAAAATGTCACTAGACTGTTCATTCCTTCCTCTAGATATGCCCCCATTTTGTCAGTGTTGCTCTTAAAATTCAGTCAGCAAGCATATAGTAAGTATCTAATACATGTCAAAGTGTGTGCAGAGAGAGGATGCGATAGTTTAGGATTTATAATGCCATACAGGGTAGGCGGTCAGCTGCTCATCAGTGCTGTAATTTGGCAGCGCACATTCAAAGTTAGATTTAGTAAAATGGCCGAGAACCGTAAAGTTCTCTACAAAATGTTCAAATATAAAAACTAAGGTAAGTGGTCAATGGATTGGAGAAGACTCACTTCTCAGTCCTTAGGTATGAGTTAAGTAGAAATCAGAGGTGAATCATTTCTCTCAAGGAGCCACCATAGAGCTAGCCAAAAGAGCTATGGAGCTGAAATGTGGCATTCTAGGAACATAATCACTAACAGCCCCAAAGGGAATGCCTAAGGCCAAGCAGAGAAGGCTGGCTTCGTGGGTATGTGGCCCTGGCGGATGGCAGGCACTTCTGATTTCTAGGGGGATACTGTACTTGTGTGGGATGGGATAACTGTCTTTTTGTGTTGTCTAGGGGACATTTTCCAAATAAGTTATGTTGCTGAAAGCTTACATCCATTAACCTAGCTGTTGATATTTTTGTTACTCAGAATTGTTGGTTTTTAGCTTTCTTTTCCAGAGACAGTAACTCAGTGACCTATTAACTGTATCTGATCCATTTTGTGCAGGCCTAGAGAAGAATTTCATCCCCTTACTGCTGGCCTTTTTCTGGGTATGCCATCTCAACCACACCTCCCTTAAGAATTTGGTCATTCCTAGTGCCCGTATTTCTATAGCTCCTTTTGTCATGGTTCTGAAATGAATTATAATTTTAATATGAAATATCAATTTATCCTGGTATCTCTGATCTGTGATGATGCTAAGATTCAGGTGTGACAGAGAAAGACCTCTGAAGGTATCAACTGGAGCCAACTTTAGATGAGGAAAAGCCAAGTTGGGTGTGTGTGTACACACATACATACAAAGATCATGTGGAGCAAATCAAATAAAAATTAAGTTACTTTTGGACTGTATCATGCTTTACCATTAGAGTAAAAAAAAAAAAAATAGAAATGTCAGATAAGTTGTGATTAGTAATAATCCAACCCAGATGTATGGTAGACATATTTCGTTACAGGCAGACCAAAGCCCACACGTTAGTTTTTAAGAAGAATATTTAGGACATCTCATTAAAACCAGTTATTAATTGCTAATTCTGTATTAGTGTAATCTCCCAGATTTTATAGAATTCCACACAATTCATTCATCTATTTAACATTTATTGAGCAATAAATCATGGATGCTCTGGGAGGAATCAAACACAGTGTCTGACCTTAAGGAACCTCTATAAGAGAAGAGAAGACAAAAATAACAATAGAACATAACAGTTAGAAATTGCAATGAGAAAGGTACAAATAAAGCACTATGAGAAAATAGAGCTGAGAAAACTGATTTACTTGAAGCTAACTAGATGCTATCTTGCATGACCTCTCAGAAGCTTTTGGCAGTTGTTGATTACATCTTCATTCTTGAAACACTTTCTTCATTGGACACCACACCCTCCTGGTTTTCCTCCTACCTCAGCCCCTTTCTCGGTTTCTTTTGATGATTCTTCCTGACCCCTAAGTGTTGAAATGTCTCAGGGCTCAGGCTTTGGTCCTCTTTTCTAGCTACAGTCAATACATGAGCTCATCCCATGGTTTTGACACCATCCGTATGTTCTCTCCGATATTAACTTCCATGAGCTCCAGACTTAACACCCAACCACCTGTTTGACACCCATTTTAGATGTCTCATAGACAATTCAAATTTTATTTGGTCAAAGCAGAACTTCTGACTTTCCCCTCAACCTGTATTCTTCCTTTCCCATCTTAATAAACACTATCCAGCCCCAAAGCCTATATTTTTACTTCCTCTCTCCTCTTCACATACGTATCTATCAGCAAGTCCTAATGAGCCTACCTTAAAATATACCCTGAATATATTTACTTCTTACCACTTCCACCATTGCCACCTAAGTCTAAGTACCCATCTCACTTGGACTACTGCAGAGCCTCCCGTCTGGTCTCATTGCTTCCATTCTTGCTCTTTTTCAGTCTTCAAAATAAAGTGACCTCAAAACATGAGTGACATCATGGCCATTCCTTGATCAGAATGTTCCAGGGTCTTTCTGTGACACACAAAATAGATCTAAAATCCTTACCAAATTCTGCTTGATCTGGTCCCTGCTTCTGACCTCATCACTCAGGCTTTGCTACTTTATTATGTCTACACCGGCCTCCTTGCTCATCTTGTCCTTTGAATATGGCAAGTTCATTCCTCTAGGGCCTCCACATATATATGGCTATGTAGTTAACAGTTACTGAATGTTTACAGTGTCCCAGGGACTGTTTCAAGCATTAGCT